CATTCCCTCTCGGTTCCCTTTTACCGAATTTCTTCCTTATTCTCGCTTAGAGTCAAGAGTATGTCCGCGTTTTCTTCCCTCGGCAGCGCCGATAACGATACATCAATATGCATGCGATAGGAGCTCCGGCAGCCTCGAGCGATAGGAGGATTGAATTATTCGTGACGAGAGAATGGAAACTTTGTAATAATAACGTGAAACGAGAGAAATAAAAATTCCGCGCGCCGAATATAACTCCCTTTCTCTCTCGTCTCTCCGTCGATTTATCGAACGTGTCTGTTCTTGGCGCGCGAAAAATACCGACGAGCGGCAGGCAGTGCTAGACGTGCTAGATTTAAAAACACGAGCGAAGTGAACGGATGGGATAAGAATAAAGCCCGCTCTTTTCTGAATTCATCTGGGATTATCGTGCGGCAAGGAGAAGATAACAATTAAGCGGAGAACTCTCGTGCAAATCTTCGTTCTCGAATCCCGGTCGCTTCTTCTTCCACCGCAAATGCAAATTGGCCCTTTCTTATTGTACGCTCTGGATTAATTAGAGAGTCGTGGCCTTTTTCACGACTCGTCCCTTTCGCGACTCGCGCTTCCGATTCGCTTCAATTCGATTCGTAACGCGCTTCACGAGGCTATAAACAGAAGTTTGGAATTGACTGGATGGAAGCAAGAGACGGGAGTAAAATCACTGTGCGCCGCCGGTCCATGGCGCGCATTAGAAAGCGCTGAACATCGACATTCAGTGGTGGTCGATGTTGCTGCACGAGGGATCCGTTTCGTCGACCGTTAATTAGAGCTTTGGCTCATCAACCGTCGTCGTTGCTTGCGCGATGAAATCGAGCCACGTCGCTGCGACGCCGAACTCTCTCTCAGTCGGCTTACTGTGAAATCAGCTTGCCTGCCGTCCGCTCTTCCCCGAACCTTCGCCAATACCGGTGCAACACCATCCGACCTCAACGCGAGACCGCTTCACCTGGTGAAGCCACATCGTGCTATTCCAAAGCTTCAACACTATACATATATGTTCTACGGATTTTGTAGAAGCTTGGTCACCCGTGCGACAGCGTGTCGCTGTTGCAAACGCTTTCACCCGACAAAGATACAATATAATACGATATCGATCGTCATATTCCATTTTCTCCTTGTCACGTATGCGCGCGTATCTACTTTATTTTTATCTATGTTACTTTGGCCGAAACGATACAAGATTCGGTTTACGGGCGATGCTTCTACTTTGTGATATCTTCCCCGATGCTGCGGAAAGTACTTTTCGAGAAATGTTTAATAGTGATTACTCACCTGCACGCCATTAACGAACCATTTAAGTTTCGCGGCAGGATAGGACTTGCTGCTGGTGCAATTCAATGCGAGCACGTCGCCACTCGCGTACACCTTTTCCTCTCCTCTTATCGATGGGCTTTCCTGAGATATCGCTGCAACAATTTGAGAAAATTGTTAGATGTATACACGATAAATTATACGATAATATTGTTTATTTTAACTGTATAAGTTTGAGTAAAAGTTAGTGTTTTATTTTTATTAAATTGTGACACATTACATGCACGTATTGTCTATTATACAATTATAAATATTGCTATACATATTTTTAAAAAAATGGAAAGAGAGAGTGAACATCTTGATCTGTAATTATAAGTTAAAATAATGTCTAAAGGAGTAAAAATTCTACTATTCAAGTAAAGACATTATCTGATATGGAAAATAAGAGAATAAAAAGAAAATTCTTTAAAATACTGCCGTTTGACTCGGTCTTATTAGCCCAAGATGTCTAATACTAAATCCCACATTGTTTCGACGGCATAAAAAGCAGCCTCGCCCTTTGGGAACTTTACGCGGTAAAGCGTATAAAGTCGGACGCGCCATTAACAAGAAGTTTTACTGCCACTAAACGCGTTTATTAACCGAGCTTTAGATCTCGTGCATTTTAAATTTTTCGGCGTATACGTGCCGCCTCGCGTTAATGTTCTCCATAATGAAGCGGCCGTACGGTACGCCGTCGCGTAGACACGATTAATAGCCGAAGCCGAGAAAGCAAGCTCCATAAGAATGCATCGGGGATTAGATGCGCTCGCTTGGGAAACACTCGCGAAATTTATGACGATGGCCGAAGCAGTACGCATATTTGTTTGACGCGTATATTATATTGTTTGCTGGATAAAGATGTTCTCCTGTAAATAAAAAATTCGATTTTTTCCCTTTTTCCATTAGTTTCAACACTAAACAGCTTGATACTAAAGTTCATCTAATTTTTCGACTAGTTTTAATTAAAATTAATTTTAAGGCTTTCCTCTATTTTTACATATATTTATAATATATTAGTTCCAAAATACAGTATATATTTTCACATGTCTTTCTTTCTCTACTACATATTTAAAAATATTTAAAAATATATAAAATAAGAATTTGATTCTGCATTGTTACAGAAATAAGTTCTTTGTAATATCTTTCTTTAAATTAACAACAATTCTAACAATTAATCTTTTTAATCTAATTTTGATAGAATTGATATTAATTAAGCAGAGCACGTGTCGATTATGTTTATAAATGATAGATTAGAAACATGATTGTTTCTCTGATAACATAATGCATATTTAAAGTTATTTATCTTTTATATTATGTTATACCTTTGATATTATAAATACAAGAAGTATATAATTTCTTGATTGTAGCTAAATTCGATTCTGTTGTGTGTGTGCTCGCTGTCTCTGTTATAGCTAAATCGATTATGTATGAGAATTAATCTGAAGCGACTGGACAGTTCTTATCAAAATCGCTATCGAAGATACCATCGTAATAAAAATGCTTATCTTCCCGATAAGCTTCTAAAGCTATCGCGACACTTCGTTTGGAATATTCAACGAAGCCATTTTGAATCTTATAACGATTCTTTCCATCTATCCGACTGGCATTTCCGCCGGAAGTTTGTGTTTGCAAATATTGTTTGCAGCGAGCGAATGTCGTTTGCTTATTTCTATTTTTAATCAATTACTGATCAAATTAATGAAGTTATTAAAGAAAATTATCTCTGTATAAGAATATTATAAATGTTGTCGTTTTATGTGTTTTATAGTGGACAGAATGAAAGATTAATATATAAAATGTAAAAAAGAAACATTTATTTTTAAAGAAAATACATAATAAATAAATTTTCCAAATTTTTAATAATTTATTAAATTTAACGCGGATGTTGAAGAAATCAATAAATAATATCAAAAAAGTATAAAATGTATAATGCCATTTAAAACTTATCTCATGCAATAAGAGATGATATGTCGATATACGATAACTGTTAATATGGAGAACATTGTAAGAACACACAATTAACTCCTAGCACTTTTTAACGCTTAGCAATAAAGTTACCGTCTAGTCGATATATGGCACGCCAGCGAAATAAATTCAAATAATTCACGCTCGCTTGCTCTTGTTGAAACGCACTGGCCTGACGACGGGAACGCGATCGAACTCGCATGTTAGCGAGAAGAGACGAGGTAGAAAAAAAGAAAAAAAAATGCGAGAGTCGGCCGCTTGGCAAAAATACGATACGATTAACCACGAAAACACAATTAGACGTCTGTTTCTACGCGAGAAAAAAAAATAGTTACGTGATATAATATCCGATAGTGAAAAAAATAATTGGGTTGGTTACTAAAACTTGATTTTAACTTTGTATTATATCTATATTTGTGCGACAGGCAATGAAATACTTCGCTTTTATATGGTTGTATTGAATATTTTTGACAATATTTGCAAATGGCACGCTTCAAATTCGCCGAATTGCGAGCGAGAAGCCAGCACGAAGCGAGCAACGCTGGTTATCGATTTTTGCGCGGGTCAGCGCGAGGGAGAAAATTTCGTCGCAAAGATGCAGTGGGAGACGAAAAGCCGACAGGTCGACGAAACTTGGCACGACGACAGCCTCCTCGACAGCCTCCTACACAACGGTCTTAAAATTCCCCCGTCCGCATCCTACCTCCCTTCTTCCAACGCCAGCGACCATCTCGCTCGCTCTCGTGCGAGCATTCCAGGCCTCTTTCTCCTTTTTCGTCTCCTTTGGCCCGAAGCGGCATCGGCGGCGCCTAGTAACGGCTTAAGACTTACGACGCCGTAATATTTATCGCGTTTCGACGGCTTTATGCACCCTTAAACTTTAACGCCCGTTCACCGATCGCGCCTCGCGCAAACCACTCGAGTGAATTTCCTGCCTTCCACGGAAACGCGAGTAAGAGCACGCGTCCATTCCCGCCTTTCTTGATTCGATCGAACGGGATGCGGATAAGTCGAGAAATGCGATGCGATCTTTCGTAAAATTAGTATTAGAATATTTCGCAAGTCGGTGCGTTTCATCGTTTCGACGATATCAAAACGTACGCAAATTTACCTCGCGCAATTAACCCTTTCGCCAATCATTCCTGACGACAACTTAATTTGTCTCATTTGTCTGCTATCTTTTAAAGAGGTTTCAATATTATATATTGCGAAGCAATATTATAAATGCATATCTTTATAACACAACTGTATCAGAAATGTTATTTAGAGCTCACTGATTTATACAAAACCGATATTTATATGACGTAAAAAATAATCGATTTTGTATTTTAGCGTGCTTTGTATTTTTCGCACAGCAAAACAAAATATATAATTATTAATTCTATTATTACATTTCTCTCTGTTTTCTTTTCGGCGAATTATGTACATTTTTAAATATATTTCCATTATTGAATTAATAACAACATGTGTAAAATTATTTCTGTTTTAATATTTTTGTGCTGTAATGTAACGTGACTTCCGCACAAATGAATAAGCTGTTTGAGGAATTAACTGAAAAATAAATGCGCTTATTGTATTTTACGTCCGACATTATCTTCTTTTTACAAAAATTCCAAAATCCATTCACCGCAACACACCGTTTACAAATTTTATTCAGTTGCTAACGCGGTAATATGTTATAACGAAATAATTATAAGACGATTATGTTCTGTCTATAGCGGACGATCTCTTATAATAATGCCTATCTTCGTTGTCGAACCGCCTACGTTAAGGTGAGTTAATATCTAGCTCGGAGTTACTATGTACTATCGTATCGCCCACTTTGACCGTATGATAATCCTATTGCAACGGATACCTCGTCTAGCGTGTGCTCAAGATAATTAGATACGCTTCCTTTGATCCTGATAAGAACAGCATACGCATCCACGCGCACGGCCGTTTGGATCGAGTATCCGCCGCGGATTGATTGGTCAATGTCCGAAACATCGTATGGGAATCATGTGTCGCGTCATCAATCGGAGATGCTAATCTTTGAAAGGAGAATTAGTGCGATTATGTCAGCGGATATTGCGCGCTGTTATCGGGTTTTGTCTCCCATTTACTACTTCGTACACACTTGCTTTGTTTGAGGATAAATGTACCATATTTGCTGTACCTATAGTTCGTTGTATATCGTGCTGATGAAAGTGCGTCCAGAAATCGAGTTGCACGGAGATCAAATAACAAAAGAATAGCAGACAAACAAAAAAGGCAGATGACGTTTTCATGCACAGATTATTGATGAATTTATAACTCCACATGGACACGTACGTATTGTACATTCGATGGCGCAATCAAATAAAGAGCTGAACGATTAATCAATCAAACCGTTATTCGTTTACCCGCTTGAACTGGTCAGTGGAGCAAACGATTATCTGTTTGTCCATCTAATCAATGAAGCGATTATATAGCTGTTTTATATCACTTACGCGAGAGATGTAATGAAAAAATTTTAAGTACATGATAAATACATATAGTTTTAAAATTAAAAGAGAAATTAATCACATGTGATGAATAGAAATTTGTCAATGTTTGCTGCTATTTCTTTGTTTATTAAAAAAAAAAACTGTATTTTTTTAAAAATAATTTTAACCCTTCGATTGTATAGGAGCTTATTGTGATCTCCTAAAATTCTTTTTCTATTGATAATATTTCAAAGTAAAAGTTCTGACTACTTTCGATATTGATGTTTTCTTTATCAGAACTAGAGTTATTATCTTTTATATTTACGATTCATTTTTAGGCCTATTACAATTCCAATAAGATTAATTTGACATTCGGTAATTGGCGCATTCTCTGACTGTTAGATTGTCTTGCAAGCAATACCGGGTCTCGATGGCACTTGCGAACTTACACAACGCTGTAATTCGATATCGTCGACACTTCGACGGAGTTGCCGTTAATTTTGCGAACTAATCGGTCCATAATAACGACATGAACGTGTAAACGCGATAGCGAATTCATGGTTAGAGTAAAGGGACTCGTTCCATCTTCAAGGATGATAGAACATTACGAAGGACGATACGGGTCTCGACTCGCAGTTTCTCATTTCTTCGCGAGAACACGACGATTACCTCTCTCTTTCTCTCTTCCTTTCCGCACACTGCCACCGAACTCAACCACGTCGTAGTCTTTAGTCGAGTTACCAAAGGGGAGACGACGGCGCGGCCGTGTTCAAAAGCATTATTAATTAAACGCGACACCGGTCCACTCACCTATGACCTCCATGTTCGCCTCGGCGCTAACTAAGCTAAAGTTCGGCGCCTCTGCATTAACTTCGCACTTGTATTTGCCGCTGGCATGAAGGCTCGCATTTTGCAATACTACCATCTGGTCATTCGACTGTTCTTTCTGAAACAGAAAATGCAGATTCGTTGTAAAACCGTACAAATCGTAATACAAATAATAAAAATAAATATAAAACAAAATACTGAAAAGTTAATTGATGTTACTTAGATTGCCGGCTTGCAATATTCCATTCAAGATAATATCTATTAATTAACTCCTACTCATACATTGCGATTTTGCAAGATATATATACATATATATTAAATTAAAATTTCTTTTCCTTTTTTCTCGTTCATCATTTGAAAGAGAGATGTTACATAGAAATCTATTTTATAATTAAGTTCTTAATTGCAAACTGACTATTATAGACTAAATTATAAACTTTAAAAACATATAAATAATTTTTTAATTATATTAAATATAAATTTTGAATAAACAGAGATAAAGAAAAAGATACATTCAAATTATATTTAACGAGTAAAGCAACGAGAGATATTCATCGTTTATTTAATACTATGTAAAGATTTATTTAATAATAGTTATTTAGTAATGGGCAGGCATCTATTTTCAAATAAAATTTTTTGCGAACTATTACATAGATCGAATTATAAAAATTGAATAATAAAAAATCACAAATAAGGATAAATTGCATTAAAATTAAATGAAAGATGGAACACTTGAAATATGTGAAATGGCGAGAGATATCTATTACATTTGACAGTACGTCGAAATTTATGTGTATATCAACCAAATTATTTGCGGCTATTATAGAATAGAGAATTATAAATATGCAGTACCTTGAAGATACTGCAAATAAAAATGAGTTAACTCAAATAAAAAGTCCCATTTGAGATATGTCTACTGGAGAAAGTGTCGAGAAATGGACGAGACGGAGCCGCGATTCTTCCGAGCTATTTGACAACATTTAGTCGAGGTATAATAATTCGTGCCATTACGGTAAAGCGGGGCGACAAGACATCGACTTTACGAGTCATTTCGTTTTTAGAGCAATGTAGTTACGTCGTTACAAATGGCGGTCGCAGATCGCGCATGATTATCGAGTGTAAGAGTTATTCTTTTTTTTTTTTGCTGACAAATTTGCGACTTGCAACTTTATAAAAGACTTTTGCATTCATACGCTTTTTATTGTATTAAAGCACATTTATTATATTCTGCCCTAACTTACACATTACAGAAAAGAAGATTAATTAGTTCGAGAGTTCTTTGCAATATTTTTAGAATAAAAATTCCATCAGAAAATTTGATATAAATTAAAAAGTGATTATACAAACCTAATGTATTACACAAAACTATAAATTTCTTTTTGTAATGCGTTAACAGGACAACCATAGCATAATAACTGAACAGATTTTTTACGCTATATCAAGCTCTTATGCAAGAAAAAAATGACATCACGCAAATGGATTTTTCCTTTTTTCTCGCCAACTTTCAAATGCAACGGAGAGTTTCGCAAATAAAAATAAATGGTAACGTATAATCAAAACTTGCAAAATAAAATGGATTTATTGAAATAAATATAAAAAACATTTCCCTTCCTTTTAAATAAACATTTCTTTAATTTTTAAACTGGCACAATCAATCTATATATATATATATATATATATA